GGGTGGAGACGGGGTGACCATAGGGGAAGCAGGATTCATCAAACACGATGTGGCGGGAGATAATGATTTTGTGGGTGTTAAGATCGAAGCAACGGAAGCCGCGTTGGTTAGAGGGATAGCCGAGAAAAATGCAACGAGCGGATCGTGGGGCTAGTTTGTGGGGGGCGTTGGCGGATATATTGGGGTAACACAAACAACCAAAGACGCGAAGGTGATCGTAGGAGGGCGGGGAATTGAAGAGGGTGGCGTGGGGGTCTTATTTTGTAAGGTGGTGGTGAGAAGAATGTTAAAAATATGGGCTGTCTGAAAGGTAACCATTCAAGGATAGGCAGCGGAATATAAAAATTTTAACATCCTAACATGATTATCTTGCCCAGAATCACATACTAAAACTTATAGTGAGTAAGAAATTTATACCTTTCTCCGTAAGCGGTAAAAACGAAGAAGTCGTAGGAAGAGCGTTGAAAGTGCAAACGTAACCGTTCAAGCGTCTGGTCTCCAACTTTGACACACGAACAACGCCGGAGTCTACCACAATCTTTATGCTAGTAAAGATTATAGTAGTATAAAATATAAAGATTAAAATTGGGATAATAATAATCTTGTATATTTCTATAGAAAATATTTTTAATAATATTTAGAAAATATCATAGATATTTTCTTAGAAAATATCATAGATATTTTCTATACACAAAATGATATTAATGGAACACAAAAGAATTTTTCTCTCTCAAGAAATAATGGTGGCCGAAAATCCTTTTAAAAAAAATCCCATGGTTAGCTAATGATGTGTGTGGTTTAAATAAAGTATGATTAGTAATTGATTTTGTCATTAGCTAATATGACAAATCAATCAAGACATAATTTTGATTCATTAAATCCTCATATGGATGGCCGAATGATGATTTTGAGAAGGATTTTCAAAATTCTTCTCCACTTAAATGTTCAAAGTGTAGTTTATTTGACACCAAAAATTAATATTAAATTAATTTTAAATCAAATACAAATACTCATATCATTTTTAAACAAGTATACAAATATACTTTAAATATTTTATGTCAAAATAATTATTTTCATAATTAAAATGACAAACCAAAATAAAATATTCAATATAATATATATATATTAATCGGCACATATAATATATATATATATATATATAACCGAATTTATATATAATATTATATTCCAAAATATTTTATTTTACTATTTTACAAATATACAAATTACTTATTATCCCATTGTTTAATCCTACTCCTTAAATTGTCCAAAGTGTGTGACCCGTATAGGCACTTATAAAGCTGGCCACAGCACCAATACTATAAGCAATAAGCGGTATCTAGAAACACATTATTGCCCCCAGATTATAAGTTAAGACGTTTGCACCGTCAAAACCATTCCACGACTCAAACTCCGTGTAACTGTATCCCTTTGTCTCAATGTCTAAACTTAATGCAAGGGATTAATAAAATCCAGCTTGTATCCATTAAGTCATTCACTGATTTATCAAGTCTGACTGATAGGAACAGACATCATAAAAGCATCTCTGCATGGCCATGCAATTTCCTCAATCATAACTTATCAGTGGGCCCCATAAGACATTAATCTCTTTTAAAAAGAGTAGTGACAAATCCCATGTATGTAATCTACGTTTCTGAATGCGCGCTGTGGCATACCCAAAACAAAGCCTGTATACCATCCTTATTTCATATGGATTAGGACAATGCATCAAAGTATGCGGGTTCACATATGCAGAAAACGTAATACTTCAAGTCGAAGGATAGTTACTCCCGTGGTCGCGCTAAAGATATTTAGAGCATGAACTAAAAGTTCAAGCAACATCTTTAGGATGGGTCAGTCCGGCATCCTATTATCTCTAAATAATATCTGCCCATGTGCAGATGCGAACACACTGTCATTGACTATGAGACTAAGTCAAACATCCAACACACACTAGTCTCACATGCATTAACGATATCCCACTCCCGTTAATACTCGACTATGGACATTCAGATAAATATTTATTTCAAGATGTTAGTCTCAGCAGCAGAATAACACTATCTGATAAACATCTTTAAATATAAATCTAGGAATATAATATTTGTTTACATTAGCATGAGATGTGTAAACATATTATATCTGCCTATACGTGATAGGATAACGATGAACAGTTGGCCATCAGGGCACAACTCCAACACTGTCATGTGAAGGGCCTCAACCCAGAAGGTAGGTGGAAGTTGGGCTTGAAAGAGGAGTGAACGGACCGAAATGTTAATGGTACGAATGGTGCGCTCAGCTCAGCCGTTCTGTTGACTGGTGTAAGGACACGAGAAACGAAAGAGGATACCTAGGGAGTCAAAAATATTTTTGAGTGGTGAATTACGATACTCTGTTCCATTGTCACATTGAACTGCTTTTATGGTTGTGTTAAAATGATTTTTGACATATGCTACAAAAGAGGTTAAATTATTAAAAGCATCACTTTTATGTCTTAAAGGAAAAACCCAAAGATAGTGAGAGAAATCATCCAATAATAACATATAAAATTTAAAACAAGTAATACTCAGAACAGGAGACTGCCATAAATCTGCATGTAAAAGTTGAAACGGATACATGGAAGCACGACTAGAGGAATAAAATGGGAGGCGCACATGCTTTCCCAATTGACATGCATGACATCGAGAATGTTGATAACGTTTAAAAAAAGGAAGAGAAGAAAATTGCTAAGGACATTGTGACTCGCATGGCCTAGGCGCCGGTGCCGGGTCTGGAGATCGACAGCGGCGACGTTGGCTTGAGCGGCAGCTAGGAATCCTAGGGGGTAGAGGGGTCCAATATTATTGGATCGATGCATCACGGTGCCCGTCCGACGATCCTTCACAGAAAAACCATTAGAGTCAAATTCAACTGTACAATTATTATCGCGAGTGAGTTGATGAACAGAGATAAGGTTGTGAGTGGTGTGAGGAGAAATAAGGATATTTTTAAGGGATAGGGATGGGGTAGTAGGGAGGGTATGGTGACCAACAGCCGTAGTGCTAACTTTAGATCCATTACCAACAGTGATATATAATGGTAAATATAAAGATTGAGAATTAACATGAGAAATAGTACCTGGGTCGAAGGCAATATGATGGGATGCACCGGTGTCCATATACCAGGTGGGTTCA